TTAGTAATTATTAGTTACGTTGTATTTTGTAATTTTGTAATTTTACGTTTTCATTCGCGAATGTTTCTAGTAAATCTTGTGTGAGGACAATTGTTGTTGGTGTCTACATTTAGTGAAATATCGATTGAGACCATGGACTTGACAGAACATGTGCCGGGCGACTGTTTATTCGATTATTTATTTTTTTAATTTTTTACTACATCGAATACATTGTTAAACAACGATGGACTCTAACATCATCTCGTGAGAAATCAACATGATGTTAGCATTGTACCGCACGGAAACGTGAACGGGTAAATAGATCATAACGTAGCTTACTTTGTCAAGCACGGTGTGACAAAAGTTAACTTTACTGACGATTAACCCAATTCCGCTAGTAACGAGTACAACCTTGCTCCATACAAAATTAGTCGAAATCGAACCGACTTACAGAGAGCCGTCTCCCGTTTGACAATATCCGTAACCAGTCCTTTTGAGAGTCCCGATGACAGTCTAAACCCCTTTGGTTTAGTTCCAAAGAGGACATCCTCCTGTAAAATCAAATAGGTGCTCGGAAAAAGTACGGGGGATTCATCTGCCGAACGACCCATTTAAAAGGACTTACTATAGGGAACTTTGTAGTAGCCATCGGTCACGTATAAGAACAGTGACTAAGGAGGGTTGAGTCGAAAACAGTACACAAGGTAAAACATTTACTTGAATTTGAAAAGCCTGTGTCGACTTCTAACGTTTTAGACCAGTCTGTTGAGGACTTAATGTCACAGTTGTATTGTAATTTTTGGTACGTGGATTTTACCCAGAGTCCAAGGGACAAGTTTTTCCGGTCACGAACTTAGTAAGGTACTTTAGAGAAACGAAAGACGTTGCAGAAAGGAATTTCAGTCCCCTTTCATAGGTAAGAGTTACGATCAGAACGCACGTGTACAGTTCCTAAAAGACTTTGGGAGGAGAATATGAATGTCTTCTTAATAAAGTCTCTTAGCTAGTAGGAATTACCGTCACAGGTAGCTTTTACAAGTGACGAACGTAACGGAAACGATTGTTGCTGCACTAGAAGACCTGTTATCTAGTATGGTTTAGTTCTCCGTGTAGTCTTTGAGTACCATTGTTAGAGCGGTCTCTCGCTGAAACGGAGACTCTGACAAAACGGCAGAAAAAGGTGAAGGAGTTCGAAAAGGGTTTCGCAGTCTTCTTAGGGGGGAATTGACCTTTGCGTGTCGAAACTGTCTCAGATAAAAGCGAGGGTCGGACAATGTGACTCTCCGAAATCTCATTACAGGTCGGTTTGAGAAAACTCCTATAGGGTGGAGAAGTGGCTTCGACTTTTTTACCACATGTCAGAGACCTATCACGGTTTTTTCCATTCTGTGTGAGACAACTACTACGTCGTAGTGTATACTCCTTCCAACTCTGACACCGATGTCGTCCCCTATTTATCACCGGAGACCTGTGAAGACGACGTGGTTCCGAAACTGTGGAAACACATATGGACAGAGTATAAGCTCGTAACAGTATTGAGACCAGGGATGTACAGAAGTTGGAGGTTGGGTCCGATAGGTCGTGAGAACAAGACACCTGGAAATGGCTCAACACAGGAGTGTTGATACTTCGGTTGGTTTTCTGAAGTAACACTACCACCGAAAGAAAAACAGAGGCATACCTTTCGTATGGCCTAATACTCGACTCGGGACGAGGACGAAACTTTACAGTCCTCACGTTAGGTTGAGGCTGTCTGTCATGAAACTCCGAAACTGGACCCGTGTTTAAAATGGGTTCATGGGTCAGACGTTTAACTCTCTTAGATTTTTAAGTAAGACTCACGTGGTCCTTTCTATAGGACACCAAAAAAAAATCTATCGGCGATGAAAGATTCTCACGAGCGATCACACTGTAGATAGCACGATACTGGAGTTCCTGGTGGTCTTTAAGAGGTAAAAAAGCCCTAGAGGATTACATCGTAAAAGGGGGAGTCACGTTCAAGGAAAGACGCTCTGTTCTCATGACGTTAGCTAGTGAGAGCCAAATTGTGCGAAGAGGTCATCACGGAAAAGTCGAAGATACCGAAAAAAAACGTTCAATGACAGTTAACACGAATGGCTTGCCGCATTCGCTCTCAATTAAGAAAGGTGTTTTTCTATGGCGCAACCTACCACATTGTTGGTGACCAAAGTCCACACGATCGTTCGCAAAAACTTTCTGAGACGGTCAAAATATAGGGTGTGTTTCGCACACAGTTGTTGCGATCGAGGTGGCTTTCAAATGTCGTTTTGTTATGTGGAATAAGCATGAAAATCAGTTATGTCATTGGTTAGAGCAGTTGAAAGAAGGTAAACGTAACTACGCTTTGTTATGCGAAGCTTTTTGTGTGAAGATCCTGAAGAGACTAGAACCTATTACCGGGTAGTCCTGTAAACACACCCGGTAAAAGTTGTTGTGTGAGGATTTACTCAGGGGTTAAGACTACACCACGCACCGGTCGAGACTAACCTAGAAGCACGTCATTCCGGAACCTGAGTCGGAGAGGAGAAGGTGGAGAGACAAGTGTTGGAGAGAAAAGTGGAGAGACAAGCCTGTAAGAGAAGGTGAGTAGAAGTGGAGAGACAAGTGTAAGAGATAGGTGGAGTAGAAGTGAGAGCCAAGCTGTAAGAGAAGGTGGAGTAGAAGTGAGAGACAGAGTGTAAGAGCAGAAGGGTTGGAGTAGAAGTGGGAAGAGCCAAGCTGTTAAGGAGTGGAGCTAGCAGTGGAGAGCCAAGCTGTTAGAGGGAGTTTACAGGTGGAGACACACACTCACCGAGAGGTAGAGACAGACGTGATAATAGGGGTTTTTCCCTGTGTCACTTATCCAACCAGTTGCTTAGCAAGTTTGGTATGACCGTAACTCAAAACACACCAGTTTATTATCTGTGAGGAATGATGGAACGAGTAAGTAGTGACGCCAGAGTAGAAGATGAAACTACGGTAGCGCTTGGAGTACAGACAGAGTAAGTGAGGAACGGACACAAGAAAAGGTGATTCTATATACAGGTTTGTTGTAATACTTTATCCTAAAAGGTATAACAAAAAGGAATAATTATTATAATTTTATTATAATTTTCGTTTACTAGACAACCATAAGTTCCTGGGGAATGTGAATGGGATTACAATCTGGATGACAACGGAAGGGGACAGGAAAGGACTCGGTGGTAGGAGGTGTGGACTTATTTTACTTAGAGTGACAATTTCGTCGACCAGATTTAATTTAACTAATATAGTCGGTCACTATTCCGTATGAATAGTTATTTTTTTGTTGTGATTAATACGGCACATTTGTTTATTATTTAATGATGGTAGACCTACAGTGGCTGATATGCTTTAAAATAAACCCTTATTATTTAAAGGCCATGTCCAGCAGACTTATTTATTTATTATTACTATATATATATATAAACACATTTTTTTTGGGGGGGGGCGCCAAAATTGTTGCTGCATACCCCCCTGACACAGGGCAGCTGCGCCCCTGGCTACGATCATACCATATTCTACCATGATAGTGTTGAAGCAAAGATGGATAAAAACAACTATAAGACAGAAGGAAACAGACATTGGAGGAAATGGTGATTGTATGCTATCGCTGTAAAGTCTCGTGTCAGAACAAGACTTTACAGCGTCGCTGCTTGAAAAAACGAACAGGAAATGATTTTTTTGCGGGTGTATATAAATGTGCAGCTGCAGAACTCTGATCATTGCCAGTTGAAGCAAGCCGCACATCAGAGATGGAGAGCCTTATAACAAAAATCGCCACTGAGAAGCTGAGCACCTACGCTGCGGTCATATCTATCTTCACCTTCACTATTTTGCTCGACAGGGATTTTGCCTGCACCTGCAAACCACAAGTACTGAACTGCAACCTGTACATTGGTCTGCCACCCTTTATCATTTTTTTATTAATGCTGTTGTTGGACAGTTCGTTCCAAAGCATCTGTAGATACTATTCCTCTCATTGTAAATGCCTCTGCGGTCTTTGCTGTTTTTATGTCAATCATTTTTTAAGGGCATTATTAGTCGGCTCGCTGTGGGTTGCTTTTTTGTACCTCGATGGAGACTGGTATGTTTGCTGTCAGAATGACGGCTCTGAAGAACAGGCAAAGTTAGCCTGCAAAGCTGAGAAAGATATCACGGTCAACGAGAAAGCTCTTAAAGCTGAACTGAAGAACACTTCCCGGGTGAGTGCTTCCACTCTGGATCTACTTTATCAGCATCAGTTCTATCTGAAGTAATGCTGTTGTGTTATAACCATCTTTCTTTCTTTCTTTCTTCCTTTCTCTAGGCTATCGGTGGCTGGATTCTATTTGGAATTATTTTAGTGGCTTTCGTCTTACCATTGTGTGTCAGATCAAAATGCTGGGGGAAAAAAAAACATTCTGCCAACAAAAGATTTCTGTATGACAAACTAATTATAATAGAGGAGGGCAATGTGCTGAGAGAGGTTCTGAGGAATTCAGCAAAGGAGAAGTTGACCGAAGGAATCAAGAGCAAAATCCGTGAAAAACGAAGGGAAGAGTGTTTCGATGTTGCCAGAGAGCTGATTGAAAAAGACCCGTGAAAAGAGGAGCACCAACCGCTAGGGGAACAAGAAACAGAGACATAGGTAAAGAATAATAAAATAACACTTCTCCACTTTTTTTTCTCTCAAGGCCTACAGCTAAATATTGTTTGTAGGAAGATAAGTAGGTGAAATGTGATGACCGTTACTTGACTTTATTCTGTGTTTGAGCATAAAGAATGCACAATCTTAATCGTGTGGTAACATTTGTGCTTTTGCAAAACTTGTTGGGGTTAGGGTTAGGGTTAGGGGATACATCAGATTAAAAACCTCCAAAGTTAAAATCTGAAGGTTTGCTGATTATGAAGAATGCTTTGATAGTTTCTGCTAGTTTCTTCTCAAATCACAAGTCGCTTTCTCTTAGTATGTGTTGCAGACTGGATTAGCAATATGTCGTAGATGTTAAGTGATGTTTGAGTTTACCTAGTTTGATATAAGAATGTCCTTTTTATGTTAGATATCATCATCATCACTGTAATTTAAACACATGTAAATGCGTGTGCTCAATGCACCAGGCGATGGTGCCAGACAGGCAGTTAGTGTGTTTTTCACCTCCTGCTCTCTTTTCTCTTAAGGCCCAGATACACCGGCCAGTCAGCTGAGAAGTCGCCGACGCCGACACCGACTGTTGCGTCGCCGGACTCTTTTGTTCAGTGTATGAACCATCCAGAACTCTCAGGTCTTCAGGGACTGGTCAGCTTTCTGTCCCCAGAGTCAGAACTAAACATGGAGAAGTTCAGTTATCATGCTCCAAATATCTGGAACAAACCAGAAACCTGCAGGTCCGCTGCAACTCTTACTACTTTGAAATCCAGGCTGAAGACTTTTCTTTTTGTCACTGCTTTTAATTGATATATTCATATCTTAAACTGCACTGTAACTTTTATTCATGTACCTGTGTTATTCATGTTTTATTATCTTTGCTTTTAAATTAGTGTTTTAAAATGCCAATTAATAAAATGTTTCTGTTGCATTATTTCTTAATGCTTTTAAAGGTCCCCTGTTATCCTGTGTTTCATCAATATATTGCAGGTCTCAGATATATACAGTGCCTGTCTCTAATTGGCTGAAACACCAAACAAATCATTGCAGCATTACCCATAATCCCCTCTGTTTCAGCCCTGTTTCCAAAGTGCTGATTCTCTGTCTGTTACTTTATATGAAAATAAGGAGCCCCTCCCCANAGGCTTGGCGATTTCTCGCGCCCAAGGCGACCAACAACCCATCAGGAATCTCCCAGGAATCTCCCGCCCGCCCCCGGCATACAAAGCCTGTCCATTCAATGTTAAAACGAAGTAAACTGGATATA